TTTTGGTTATCGAGTATGTTGTTATATAGTCAACATTGTATTGAGAGATGTCTATGCAGTAATACAAGAGGATTGTCCTGATTGCCACATATATAGATGCGTCTTTTATTGTTGTCTATTTTCTGTAAGCGGCTGTTGTGTTTTCTTTTTCTGGCCACTGTTTTCCACTTCCCTAATAAATATTCCAAGTAGTTTTGTTCTATATTTATACTCTTTAATTTAACAGTAATAGTAACACTAAAAATGAACAAGCACCAAAAAAAAAAAAAACAAAAACAAAAACAAAAACAAAAACAAAAACAAAAACAAAAGTGGTTGCTACGACGCATGTTCAACCACACATAGCTAAACAGATATGAATGTTGGTTTTAATCACATTAAAATAAAATTTAGTCTCATTTGACGTCTATAAAAATAAAGTAATAAGTATTGAGGCAATTGAATTATTATAATCCTTTTGAACTGTTTACACTAAGATCGTACCCGCATTAACAAAACGCATCCCCATTTTTTTCATATTTCACCTCTATAACACGTTAAAATTATAAAAGAGCATGCAACTATAACTAGATGTTTTTATATCGTCTGCAATAAGATATAAAAAGATTAAATATCTTTCAATTATAACATTATTTGTATTTCTTTAAATTAAAATTAAGTTTGTCATATACATCCACTATGTTTTTATCGTTGTTTGATAATTGTCTAATTTGCAATCATACCACATCTCATTATTTGTATATTTAATTAAATTCAACGTAAGACATAATCTGTTTTCTAGATCAGCGAGCGATCGTGACGACAGTAATAAGATAAGTTAAACGAACTGAACTTTATTTTCTACAATACTGTCCTTAATTTCTGATTTTAAAATAAAGAAGCATATTGAGTATTTATCAAGACAAAAGAAAAATACGAAATAAATCATTAGACTTATATATACAGACGAAACACGGTCACACAAAAGAAAAAAAATTAACAGTCTACAAATAATCTAACAAAAACATAGAATGACCCCGATTGAACAGGAAAAAAACTCATTCCGTTTTAAGGACATTAATTTCGTAATTTCGAAATTTTTCTCTTTGCTACAACGTTGTCAGTCTTATACTCCGGATCTTTTATTATCATTTTAGCATCGTCTTATATTTCAGTCATTTTATCATTTGACGATAAGGGTCTTGCACAGTCTGTATCATTCTCAATAAAATTGAAATTGTGAATGTGTCAAAGAGACAATAACACGACTAAAGAGCAGAAAACAGCAGAAGGCCATCAACGGGTTTTCAACGCTGCGAGAAAATCCCGCACCCGGCGACGGGCTTCAGCTGGCCCCTAAACAAAAGTGTCTACTAGTTCAGTGAAAGTGGACGTCATACTAATCTCCAAAACATATAAATTAACTAAGATTAAAATCATAAAAGACTAACAAAAGCCAGAGGTTCCGGACTTAGAGCAGGCGCAAAAAATGCGGAGAGGTTAAACACGTTTAGTGAAATCTCAACACTCCCTTTATACCTCTAGCCAATGTAGATAAAAACAAACACACATCAATACGTACAGTAAACCTCAGTATAAAAAAAGTCCGAGTTCAATGTCAAAATAGGTGACAAAAACAAATATTCAAAATTACAATGATATATAAATTAACAAAATACTACTAGCAGTTACTGACATGAAAGCTCCAGACCTCAATTAAATTGATTGAACGATTATGTCTTCATCATATGAAAATCAAGCACAATCCCTCCCGTTAGTGGTTTAGAATCATACCATCATAAAAATATATGAGAAGAACATAACCCGTATCCTGCCAACAACTGGTTTTAGAATAAATTTGTTTACTTCCGATGCAAAGACCTTATGAGTGGATCAATATTAATACCAAAATATGCCATATTTAATAACGTGACAACAGTATTGTAACTATATCCCTTTCTGAATATGTCTGTTTAGGTTTGGTTAGCTTTTGAGGAGAATGCCTACATTCAATTGCTTTGGAAAGGATATAACCATAAAAGATTGTTTGTGAAATACCTAAAAGATGTTTGTATGTTATAATAATTATCTGAATACTAAATTTGTTCTTTACTCTTCTTGCTTTAATTTTTACAACGACACTGTTCTTTGACTACGTGTGTTGTAAGCTCCACTACCTTTTATTATTTAATAAGCGAACATTTTATATTCAATTGTTGATATTTCAAATTGTACAATTAAAGTGTCATTACATCATATCTTACCCTAAACTTATATTTTGCTTTGTTTGCAATGACTCCGCTTGCACAGTTAATGAGTGGTTCAACATCAATCCCGTTTTCATTTTTGATTTCAACGGATATATAAAAAACTGCAAAAATTTAGACATATCTACCTTAAAATTCAAAGCGTTTTCAATATAATCAAGTTGAAGTTTCATTATGGATTTTTTTTTTTATGTACATGTTTTCGACAAGACCTATTTATAACGAATAAAATTACAGTTGCTTCAAGGCAGTCGAGTTTCAAGGGTAAAACATTGAAACCTAAGACGTTTTGAAGATTACCAGATTTACGAACTTGAGTCATCGTACAGTAATAATAAAGCATAATAATAATTCTTTGTAATCTTGACGGAGTTAAATGAAACAACTCCGTGGTTGAACATTTTCTTTAAATTCCAGCAGATGAAAATGATGAAATTGAGTAATGTCGTGGTAAAACAATAATTAATTGACATAACTTAATTTATCACATGCATGGACGAATAGTTTAATGCATAAATAATTTACAATGCAGATTAAGTCGAGCAAAAACGAAGGTAAAAAAAAACCAAAGACACTTACTGCAGCAATTAATGTTCAGTTCTATTCATTTACAGTATGTGTAATCCAATTGAACGAAGTTCAAAGCACCTGATGATTAATTACTAACACTTACATGTATATTTAAACGTTTAATTAATCATGTTAATGGTGGAATGTGTAAAATTCTACCTATATATCAATATATAGGTCAAAAGGAAGTAAATAAAGATGATTGGCGCCTCCTAGATTTCACATCCAAGATAATAGGTAGAAGTAAATTTATTTTCTGCTGCCCTTGTAATTAGAAATCAAAATTGAAATAGTGAGAAATGAGTGTTGGCCATTGGTGTAGAAATAGCGAGAAATTTAGAGAAAACTCTCTGTGACGAGAAACATTTTCTGTGCCAAATTTAGCAAGGGGTGTTCTTCATTTATACTTTTTCGAAAATTCCGGAACCGTTGAGTACCCTTAAAAAATGCAATTTTTCTATCAAAAAAGCTGCGGCACCATATGTGTTTTGCAGTTTCAATTACACCGAAAGGTGTTGATAATTCAGATTTCGACATTTTTTTCAGTGGATCTTTGATAGGGAAAACGCAGAACCAAAAAAGGCTACCATTGAGGTAAATGAACCCTGCTGCTAACTTGTTAAACAATCGCATTTTGTTTTCTTAACGACGTTTTTTTTTTGGTATATACATGCATCCTGGTTTGCTGATTATTTGTTTCTGTTCACAGTCTCTGTATCTTCTTAAGGATTCAATAATAGTGTCAAAACACATTATTTGGTAAAATCGTGTTTTACCAGCATTATTTTATTGAATAGGCGTTCATCGATTTCAGTTATACCAATATATATGTGAGTCACCTATAGTTTTCAATCTGATTTTAAATGAATACTATCGTATTTAGAACTTGCTTTGCTGTGCCTGAAGGCCCCACTGCTGTATCAATGAGAAAGCGATTGATGCAATATATTTAAGGAAAAGACTTTGCTTTGTATATGTACACAATGTATATTGTTTACCAACAACGTATGTTAATTGGTTAATTTTGTCGACTTCTGAAGCCCAATCTTTTTTATTACTTTATATACTCTAATGATATATCAGAAAATTAAAACAATACAATAAACGTATTGCTAAGTTTTTTTTGATAGTATTCTACGTTTTGCTTGGTAGATTGTTGTTTGTCTTCAAATTTCTTGTCGTTTTCCAATTTTTGTCATGGTGTTGTCAGTTTGGCTTCGACTAAGAGTATTTATATCTCTTTGATATATTCAGCTCTTTTTTATATGCTTTTTGACTTGCTTTTTTGTATAGTAAATGTTTTTTGTTTAAATTACTCAGCTATTTAATATTATATTCATTACAAATAGTATGAAAGACAATTTTGGTTTCAGACTTGACATATTTGAATGTTGATAAAGAAAAAAAAACCTCTTACATGTCTTAAAAAGAAACGATATCTTGCATTTCAAAAGAATGTTATTTGAAAACAAGTTGTAATTGGCTTGCATTTTCCACCATTCATATTCAATACATGCCTGTCCCAAGTCATGAGCCTGTCCTTTACTGTTAGTCGTTGGTCGATGTATAACATACGTCCTTAGTTTATTGTATGGTACAGACTCGCCGTTGCTTTCCTCCTATGATTAGTTTTACAAATTTTCATGTCATATTTTCTGTTTATTTGGTAAATGAAAGATCATAATTAAAAGGATCATATTATATTTTTAAAATCCATATACATTTAGTTTGATTTGTACCAGCCCATAAATGAGTAATGTCAGTGTAACTTTTGAGTTTTGATATTTTGAAAGAGGCGTGTAGAGCATATAACATACCGATCGATTTAATGTGATTTTTTTATGTTAATTATGGATTTCATGTGGATTAAGTGATTGTATTTAAAAAACACATTCATCAAACATACAAGGCTTATAATATTGTACGGCAGACGTGTGTTTCGTCATCAAAAGGCTCATTAGTTACTCTTGAACTAAAAAGTTTAAGAGCCAAATACAAAACAAATAGAATAGCTTTCAGGACCACACACACCAAAGGTTTTTTTACCAAATACAACTTACTTAACAGTTGATATATAACAGGGGTAGACAGTCCTTGGTATTTTAAACAATGCAATGTTTCAAAATTGATTTCATACAAACATACGTTTATACAACATCTGGTAACTAATTAAAGCAAAAGGAAAACATCAATCTCAGACTTTATTATGTAATCAAAAACTAAAAAAAACGCAAAAGTTCAGCGAAGTTTGACGAGAATGCGACTTTTTAGCCTTTCTTACATATTTGTAACAAGTTTCATCTTCTCGTATATTCTGTCTCCCAATGGAAGTTTCGATAGATGATGTTCCCAGTTTTCTTCACCCGCTCCTCTACAGGAGAAACCATATAACTAATTATGAAAAAGAAAGAAAAAGAAATGTTTATCGTATAGTGAGTTTTATTTTAAATAACGAATGATGTGTTCGGCCTGTTAAAGTTTAAATAAATTACCCTTTATAATTTGTTCTCCGCCCTTATTATAGATAACAAATTAAGTTGATTAAGCAACAATTGTACGCTGATACAACAAAATTAAAAGGACAATGATGTAGACATACAATAGCCCATAGACAGCTAAAAGCTTATAAATGTATAAATATCTATTTCGTTCTAAACTCAAATTCGCTGAGAGACTTCAATTTTGATCCGTAGTTACATAATAATGTCTAAATGTATCGAGGGGGAATCGAAGAATGATATTCCATATTCCATGGTTCTAATGACTAGAGATACGAGTGACATGGCTGTATTTACATGTAGAACAACAAGTATTCATACATGTATTATCTTTAATAATTTCATACACCTTCTGACAAGGAGGATTTACATTTATTTGTTAATAATATATATGTAATGTATCCTTAAAATTCCTCTCAGTTGATTCTGTTATGTATATAAACCCATTTACGGACCCTTGATATGATTTCATAACGTATTATTATTCGTTATTAATACAGATGCAGTGAATAATGATCGGATGATGCACTAGGGCAGAAACAATTCATAAGATTCAGAAAGTTTCGACCCAGAAAATGGAAATAACACTATACATTTGTTGGATTCTAAGCGCTTTTCTTGATTTACCTCTATGAGGAACGAATAACGAACTATACATTATAGAAGTTTAATCAATAAAACAAATCCTGCTAATACTGTAAATCGCAATAATTTATTGATCATTTGAAATGTCACAAATGCCTGGTCCGCCAGTTTTCTATTGCAGGAATTTCAAGAAGTGGTATTTATCTTTAATATAGTTTTTGCATGTTATAGGAACAGTAGCAGTACAGATTGCTGCAATAGTGATAATAAGGATATTAGTGCAATTAACGACAGTGATAGCACTTATAAATGAATTTTCCAGCGTTTCGGACAGTTATAGAGGAAAAGTGTCTGTATGAACGGTTTGTAAATAAGGTATTGTCCAAGCAGGATTTGTTTGTAATCAAAATTGATTAGAGATAAAATATAGGCATGTGAATGTATCTCACTTTCTAACAGTCTTTTGAAGCGTACACACCAAAATTACATTTTTATAACAGATTTTATATTGAAAACATGTAGGCGTAGAATATTTTTGTATTTCTGAATTTCAGTTATAAAATTTTATACAAGTAAAAAGTGCATAGTTTGATTGAGAATGAAAATTTATTACCAAAGCAAGTTCTCGTGTTGTCTCTATGAGACGGTCTGTCGGAAGGTATTTTTACTAGAGAACACAGGTTTTAGAGCTTTTTTGACCTTCAAATACTATACGGTTTAATCTCTAGTTTTCCCTGAGCGTGCCTTGGTCGTTGGTACGTGGAGCAACCTTCTTAAGTTATTAAAAAAAAATAAGTGATTTATAAATGTATGGAAGTTTACTCAAACAATGTATATTATTTATAATATGTTGTTTATTTAAAATCAATTCTGACGTCCAGCGTAATTGACGGGGTAGTCGTCAAAACTGATTCAATTTGTATATTAATTATGGAAGCGTACAGGGTGTACATGTACGAAGGGTGTAGATCTGTCAGTCGTTAATAGAGTAAATACTATTGTTGATCTGGTTGTGTTAGTATTTGTTAATGTAGTTGATGTTGGTGATTTAATGTTAGTAGCATTAGTGTTTGATTGGGTAAATTCACTTTAAAACGACAAATACCCTTCTTTCCCCAAGAACTTTGAAAATGTCTATCTCGATTTCTTTTTTTCTGCGTTGTTCGAAGATTGCAGCAGCATAGTTCGTCCATTGAAATTCAACTTGTGCTTGTGTCATACCTGTATTAAAAGGTATTAACATTTAATGGATGCACTGAGTTGCATTGTACAAACTTAAAAGAATGAAACATTACAGAATTGATGGCCTCAAAAACCAGACCATGCTATGATAAGTAGAAAAAATACATGAACAACCAAACAAAAGCCACAAACCAACACGACGAAAATTTGTGATTTACATGAAACCTAACATAAAGTCCTTGTCTTAAGTCATCTGCTCATATAAAAGGGTTCTCCTTGCTCTTATAAAGGCATCCGCGGAGTTAATTATGACAATTAAAACTTCTGGGAATAAGTTCCGTTTGGTGAACCGCAGAAAACCAATATGTTGCTTTTTGAACTGTTCATATCCGTGATCATCTGTGACATAGTTTTGTCATAGTGTCATATAAATCATGATCTACTTTTAAAGAGATGACTCCTGCTTCATGTTCTACTTGTTCTTAAACTTAAGTCTTAAACGATCCTGTTGATCTCACATTATCTGTCAATTTTCAGTCATATTCAGTCTTTATTTCAATTTGCAGACTGCAGTAGATTTCAGACAATTTGTTGAATAGAGACAACAACCCGATCAAAAAACTAAAGTAGTGAACATGGAGAAGCTCAGTACTTTTCAGTAGCTTTTTAAACAATTCATTATTATGTTGATGAGTTCAGGTAAATACCAACAACTGATCAGTTTGACCATAGACTAACAAAATCTTCATTGTCTGAAAGATAATTGTTTAACAGCCCTATATTACCATAAGACCTTCACTTATGATCAAAAACCGAACCGTGCACATAACGCGGATCACCAGAGATGACTTCTGGATTTTTCATTTTCTAAAAGCATATTATAAAACCTATCTTCTCATATTTTATCTCATAGATTTCTTTCTATGCACAAACAAACGTGATTTTTTCATGAACAATTTGGGCAATTTTGCACGACTTATAGCTTGACAAATATAACGTTGACTCATACCTTTTATTATATTATTGAAAATAACAATTCTTACGTTATGGATAAAGAAAACACCAGCAGTTTGTGTTTGTCAACTTATTTGATGTTACGAGCTTTAATTATTTTAATTGTTTAAAAACATTATATCGTGTAATATCGTGTAGTAACAAAGAATTCGCAGACTACAACATTGAGAAGGTCCATGGAAAACGTTTATTTACTAAACAATATTGATTTTGCAACCAAAACATCAACGGCACACAAAAAAGCCCTGAAGTACCGTATCGGATTAACAATCATAAATGAGATTTAGTTCAAGGATCTATAATCGCTTTATCTCATGCCGTTTAACTAAATATTATATATTGCCGTACTTAAGAGTTGATATAGTTCAATCAATCAGTTACAAAAAATATTATGTAATAATCAACTATTACAATAAGCGCAATTAAGTATAAAACGTATCAGTCGTTTTTCAGAACTGCAGATAGTTATCAAAGGTACCAAAATCATAAATTGGAGATATCAACAAATTTACATTACCATATTTCGCCAGTGATATTTCAAACCATGCGACAAATTTTCCAGATAATTTGCTTGGAGCTGGTACTATGTGCTCTGAACGAATGCCATACAATTGTGCCAACCATTCTAATCGGGTAAGAGGTGTACAAATCACAGGATATGGACCCATCTTCATAATATCAGAAGTAACTGCATTTACAACTGATTCATCTTGTACCTCTAAAACTAAAAGTAAACACAGATTTTTATTTTCATTTTTCTCTTTACTGCTACATCCAAACAAATGCATCTAAATAATATCTACGAATGCGAACTTTGAACAATTAATATTTGATAATTTGAATACTACACGATAACACATGCTCGTATGTGACGATTCTACTTTTTTCAAATTAAATTTATCAGTCCCACGTACAAATTATTCTCTTTACTTTTCAATACTTAGTCTTCTCATCTGTACGCATATATTTAGGCAATAACAATAACAAGCAAAACAGAAAAAAATGATTAAAACCGCACCAAAGAGTGTCTACAATGAACCAACATATCTCCTAAAACTAACCCTAATATTTAGGCACTGTAAGGGACGATAAATAAACTAAACAGAGTTTCAATGTCCCCCTCATTGCACATATTTTATCTTTCCAATGTACAAGGACAATAACTGAAAAAAAGATAAAATGCATAACTCTTTAAAAATATATGATCAGCACTATTTACGACAGCGTTAAAGACATTGCCGACATAAATCTATGAAATACGTTTCATAACATTCTGGCTAGATTTGTACAGATGAGAGCGCCAACAATGCAATTTGCTATAAAATAAATTTTTCCGAGAGGCTTTATTCTTTTGAAAATAATTGATCGGCACCGGTTTTTTAACTTGTAATATACATTGCTAATATAAACCTATAATATGAATGTCATAAAATCTGACTTAAATTGAACTTGAAAGCGCTGACAATGCAGTTATCCATATAAGCAATATTTCAAAGCTGTAAAAAACTCTTTTAAAAATACTTGATCGGCACTTATCTTCGAAATTGTCAAAGATACTGATGATATAAACTTGCAAAATTATCTTTATAAAATCGGACACATTGTACACATAAGAGCTCACACAAGTCGGTTTTCTATATAATAAATATTTCAAAGGGACAAATATAACTCTCTTTAAAAATGATTGCTCGGCACTGATTTTCGAACTCGTCCATAACATTGCAGATAAAAACCTATGATATGTGTGTGATATAATAGTGCAAATGAGAGCGCCAACATTGAAATTTTCGATATAACTAATGTTTCCAATGGGCATAACTCTTTAAAATAATTGATCGTTATTGGTTTTTGAACTCTTCCAAGACATTGCTGACTCTAATCTATATTTATGTTTCATGAAAATACGGAAAGAATTGTACACATGAGAGCGCTAACAAGACCGGACGGACAGAAGCACAGACAGACGGACGGTCAGACGCCGGCATTTCTATGTCCCCCGTAATGCGTTTCGCAGGAGACAATTAAAGACTAGCATTTTTGTTTGTATTCGACAACCAGAATAAGGCAAATTAAAATGACGAATAAGTAAACCTTCTCATTTACCAAATGGCATTTGTCAGTTGTCAATATATAAAATTTAGAAGCAACACGATATTCTAATGCACATAACCCCGATTTCTTGAAGGTCTTAAAGTACATTTAAAATGAAAACATATACATAACCATAAAATAACAATTACTAGTAAAATGTATCATGTACAGTTAAAATAAATATGTTGTGTAACACATATCCTGTAACAGTCTCAAAAAGTAAAATCGAAAAAATACTGAACTCCGAGGGAAATTCAAAACGGAAAGTCCCTAATCAAATGGCAAAATCAAAAGCTCAAACACATCAAACGAACGGATAACAACTGTCATATTCCTGACTTGGTACAGGCATTTTCTTATGTAGAAAATGTTGGATTAAACCTGGTTTTATAGCTAGCTAAACCTGTCACTTGTATTCAATTGACTTTTGTAAAACACGGCCATACAGAATTGAATAAATCACAAGGGTTACATGTTTACCAGTATTTGATCCGATATGTTATAAATATTTAATTAAACAAATATTGATAGGTAAGAAAATCTCAATCGGTGTATAGTGACTGTAGCACTACATGTTGTAGAGTTCACATAATATCGATCGTAAAAATTGTTTCCACAAAGTAGCTTCTTATTTAGATTGTGATATACAATGTAACTGATAACATTCAATCGTTTCCGATCGTCGTGACTAGGTATACAAACTAGAACACTATGTGTTAACCGATATCACTTTAACATGTAACAGTCACGCTCAACGTTGGATGCATTTACAGTCATACCAGTTAGTGTCAATTTGACGATTTATTTCATTTCAATCAGCTTTGGCTGACTCAAAAGAGACTTAATGTGTAGACTTCTACCAAATATTGCACTAAATTTAGTTTTCAACAATTGATATTAATAAATCGGCAAGTACAAAAATGGACCTAATCACTGTTTCATATAGTTCATGTCAGGGCCTTTTAATGCCGACTGTAAGATAAGGAGTTATCTCATTATTGACTGCCGTACGGTTGACTATGATTGCTAACATCCACTTCATTTCAACTTTGGTGGTAAGTTGTTCCATTTATCATACCACATCTCTGTTTTATGCTATTAAAGTACCCCTTTTAAGGTACGGTTGACCATACCGATTGCGGTATGTTTAAAGTTATAGAAATAGTTGAGCATTTTTCATTACCGATAATAATATTGTAGAGTACAGTAAACCATCTGAACCACCATTAGCCGACTCATCCGGAAAAATCAGATATCGAAAAAAAAATACTATGTATTTTTTTTTATCTTCCTGAGAAGGCAATTATCGTGTATATCGTGTATTTACATGTAGGAAAATCACTAATAAATATGTTCAACGAAGTACACTTAATGTATATATATTGTATGCAGACAACAAATCAAATATTCACTGAAATACTAAATTTCTTTAATCCACGAACATTGTTGCACTCGAATCCACAATAAGGCATATGTTCAACAACATACATTTTGTTGGTACGTCGTTGATATGTCTAAAACACTGCTGAATCGAAAAAAAAAAAACGAGAACAAAATATAACATGTGATTTATATACCTGATATCGTTTCGTTTTTAGATATGAAAATATGGGTCAGTTACTATTAACTAGTTTAAAAACATACTTGCAATAACCTTTGCTTCACCAACTACCTGAAAATATTGATAAGCACGTTCTAAAAAATTGTTTTCTTAACTTCATTATGATTAAATTGATGACTTTGATAACGGCGTATACATTTATTATGTAAACAAATTCATCATGTAGTAAATTTACAAACCGAATTCTTTTGTGGAAAATATGTTGCTTAAATGGAAAAAAGCAGATTTAGAAAATACTTATGCATATTAAGTATTTTTATCAGACCAAAACAAATATTTAGTTATAATATAATCAGACAACATCAACATATAAAACAAAAAAAAAACAAAGAGAAAAGGACAATTATAAAAGAAACAATCAACAAATTAGAGCTCCATCTGTAAAGAACAGAACTCATTACTCTTTTGTGGACATACGTTTTTTTGTTTTGATTTTTTGTTCTGTTTTTGTACCTCTACTTTGGCATGCTATTGTCAACAATGGATCTGTTATTGTTCATTCATCTTTTCTTTTGATTTAGTACTTACATTGCACTCGAACATGTTATAACGATAAACTTTATTATATTTGTGTTCTTTACCAGTCTTGTTTTAAGTCCTAATTTGTTTTCCTCTGCGTGAGAAGAAAGTTTTACTTAATTTATGTTTACACCGAACCCTCCTTCTGTGTCATTTTCTTTTTAATATTTAATTTGTTGATTTTTAGAATAATTGATACAATTACAATTACATCATGTCTCACCCGAAATTTATATTTTGCTCTGTCTGCAATGGCACAGCTAGCACTGTTTACGAATGATTCAACATCTATCCCGTTGTCATTTCTTCTTTCAATAGATATTAAAAACGGCAAAAATTGTGTCATGTCTACCTTAAAATATAAAATGATATAAAACATATTTCAGCTTACTGATTTATTGTTGATTTGTTGAATATTGAGTGCCATTGCAGTAGCAAGTCAGATCAAATGCATATGGTATAGATGTAAATGTACATCTTTTCGAACAAAGCTATTTGTGACCATTCAGTTTACTCTATTTTCGCAAAATTATATAAGTCGTCTTTCAACGTAGCACATTGAAAGTTGAAACGTATTGAAATGTTTCAGATTAACGTAGATTTTGAGTAAGTATAATGTATGTCAAACTAGTAAAATAATGTGTTTTCTTGGATAGTAGACTCGAAAAACGTTTTGTTAAAATAAAAATATATTTCCTATCTAATATTAATATAAAAAGTAAAATAATAAAAATAACGAAATTAAAATTGGAAAGTTCCTTGTCAAAAGGTAAATTAAGCAACCCAAACTCTAAATACTAAACAATTGTCATTTTCATGACTTTGTACAGCAATTTCCTTATGTCAAAAATGATATTGATGATATGTACGGTCAAAAGGTTGCAATGCATTAATGTTTTATACTATAGAATTATTCGAGCATAAAACGAAAATAGAATTCACAGTTAAAAATCACTAAATTTAATGCAAATATTTTACAGTTTCTTTTTATATGCCATACACCTATATGGAATACAAATAATATAATGATTAATCGCTATCAATCAAATTCAAATGTACTTACAATACAACGGTAAAATGATTCAAACTATAAAATTAATATCCATGTTTAGACTCTTCCGAAATATATTGTCTATGTTTAGATTATAAGAAAGAAAGATAACTCTAAAACAGAATTGAATCATGATAAACTTATCTTATTACCCACGTCAAGACCGTTGATCAAGAAGGCGTATTGTTTCTTGCAGTGAACTTCAGTGAATGAATTGTTTTTTAAATGATTTAGGAAACAATGAAACAACCAGTTTTCATGAGGAAAATCACATGCTTGTTATAAGAAGTTATGGAGTTGAAAAACATTTTTTTGTAGTTTCATTTTTGTTATCGCGATCGATCGAAAACAAATACAAAAATGATTAAAACAACTCAATTACCTCACAAATTCAAATATATATCTAGAGTGATTCTCCCCATGGCACGTTTATTAAAAAAAAGTATTAAGTGTGTGTTTTAAGTAAAATTAAAGTTATTGATATAATCTAAAATACATTTTTAGAATAAAATTGATGCTATCTTTTTACATAATTTTCTATGATTCTATTCTAAATATCGAATATCAAGACCAGAGGCGAATAAAACCTGGTGCTAACTGGTAAACCTTTTCTATGTTTTTAGCTGTCTTGTAAATGCTCGTTTGCTAATCATTTTTTTTTACAGTTTCACTATCCACCAAAGGGTTCAATACAATTGCAAAACAAGACCAGAAAATTGTAAAATACAGTCTTTTAACGACATAACTTACTTAAGGTTTCAATTCAATATTTTTTTATATCGATATATTTTATTTGTGCATCACATACATTTAAAGTTTCATACCTTTTTAAAATCTTCAAAATATTAAATGTTTTAACTTATTTTAATTGTTGCCTTATGTTGAATACATATCAAAAAGAAATATGATGGAGGCAAGAGTACCTAATATACATTCAAACTCGTCAGTCGAAAAAAAATCTAATTACGCCATGGCTTCAAATGAAACAAAAAGTCAAACAGACAAAAAAAGTACAAAAACACAGCATATTGAATCAAAAACAGCACAACACGAAACCCACCAAAAACTGAGAGTGATCTCAGGTGTTCCAAAATAGTAACCAGATTCACGCCACATTTGTCACCCGTCGTGTAACTTATGTTAGAACAAACCCAGTGGTAAGTTTAATTCAGTAGGTCGAATTCAGCAAAAGGGGACGGGGTTGTTATATGCTGTCATCTGTGAAATGGACATTCGACAAAAATTTACGATAGGACCATTTCTAATTCAACACTTGGAACTCTCTCAGATCAGCAATACTCTATTAAGGAAATCATGAAAAGAATAACCAGGCCTTGTAAATCGTATTTACAAGGCAATTTATACTCTATAAGCATATCCTGCTGTATTGTTGCTACCAGGAAATTGGAAGTTCACAATTCAGAAGCTGAAATCAACTCTTTCTTTGTAAATTTTTTTTTCGACCGACCATCATTGACAATTTCTCGATGTAAGTCCAGATTCGATGCAGACTGAACTATTGTATGCTTTATCTCAAGTTCGATGGGATAGGTGAGTTCAACTAAATAATAATTTATTTTCTATATAGCGGAAATTGAGGTCAAAAGATACTATTTTCTTCTTTTCTTTTATCTTTCAAGTATGAAGTCATCCTTATATAAAAATAGAAACAAGTTGGCAAAAAAGAGGAGCATAGTTAGTTCCAATTGGAATGTCCATTGCTTGATGAAAACACAAATCCTAAAAACATCACAAATATGTTGTCAATTTAGAATTCATGCATCGTGGTAATGTCTGTTCAAATTACATTTTTTTCGATACAGATTGATTTTTTACACAGTGTAATTTATCTCTCCGTAAGATGATAATAGCTACGTGTATTTACGTCGGCCATTTTCTATTTCATGAATCAATACAAGACCAACTCTTTCAATTTGTCTTTTAGTTTTGAATTATGAATACTTTTATTCGATAATTAAAATTAAAGAAACAAGAATGTGTCCATAGTACACGGATGCCCCACTCGCACTATCATTTTCTAATTCCAGTAGACCGTGGCATTTAAACTAGAATTATCCTGTCATAAGGAACATGTGAACTAAGTTTCAAGTTGATTTGATTTCAAGTTAATATTACATTTAACAAACAATTTAATCTTAAGCGGGTACAATCGTGTTTTATGTTCAGTGAACCATGAAATTGAGTTTAAAACTCTAATTTGCTATTAATATTAAAAAGATCATATCATAGGTAACATGTGTACAAAGTATCAAGTTGACTTGACCTCAACTTACACAAAAACTACCTTGACCACAATTGTTACCAAAAACTGTCAGATGAAGAGGGAAATACGGACGAAGGACAGTATGACGAACGGAAGGACGAATGGTAAGACGAACGAACAGACGCACAGACTGAAAAACAAAATTCCCCTGTGTTGGCCATACGAGTAAATATCATTTAAAGCTTAAGATGTATTTTTATGTAACCGTTTGTATCAACTGATACGTTATGCTCGTGCCTATTCACAATATACGGACTTGATTTACAGGAGTGCTCCTTACGCAGAAATCGACCTCACTGACAATTGGTATAAGGAGGAAAGATTAAACATAACACTCCGTAAAGTTATGGACGACATCAGAAATTGGTTGATCCATACGATGTTTCTGTGTCTATCTTATGATATTTTTTCCACGTCTTAGATTGTGGTTGAAGATCTTTGTCGTCTCTCTGCTAAGTACTGAACGTGACCTAATCCTAAATATGACTGTTTTACCGAGTGTGAATTTGCATTGCTATACGACGTGTCTCGGTATTTTATACATCCCACACTCGTGTATTTATTTTGATGTTTCTGATATGGTTTTCAATCTGATATTGTCTTATCGTTTGTAGTCCTAATAATTAAATAATAGCATTTCAATACCGTCATTGCCATGCTAATTGTTTGCACTGGTATTGTGAAAATAATCCCATGGAGTTCAAGGTTACACATTTGATGCATACGTACGGTTTCCATGCTGTTTTGACTGTTATATAACGTGTTTGTCCGTTTCTCTGCAATGATTTTTCCCGCCCAAGTAAGTGATGTTGTCATTTTAGCGATATTTTATGACATTGTCATATACGCGGTAGGTTTGGCTCGCCATAAAATCAGGTTCAACCCACCATTTTTTTCTTAAATTTCCCTGTACCAAATCAGGAATATTGTAGTTGTTTTCAGATATATCGTTTTATGTGTGTTGGCACTTGTTTTTGTTGCACTTCAGTGTTCCTTCTGTTCCTTTGTTTTCACTTATAGTTCATGTGTTTCCCTCGGTTTATGTAACCCGGATTTGTTTTCTCCCTACCAATTTAAGACTTTTGAACAGCAATATGCGACTGTTGCCTTTATTTTTCATATCCGCTTGAAATTTAAAATTTAGAACATGGATTAAGTATAGTATAGACGAATGTTGTATTTGAGAACATTATCAAATAAGTGAAATAAGTGGATGTACATGATACAGTAGTGTTGATACGGTTAAGCGTTACTTGATAGTTTCTACACTACTATTACATGTATTAGATTTAGAACAGATAGTCAAAGGAGAAGAAATGACCGAGGTGACTTTTTCGGTCTATTTAAATGTTCCATATGTTACATTTTTAATACTGTTTAATAAAAGAGGTGGTAAAGATGAATACTGAATAAGGTTACTGTTAAATATAATCATGTTTTTATCCAGTTTGCTACAGACACGTAAAACTTATCGATGTTGTCCACTTGCTTTGTGATATGTCCAGTTGCAAGTAGTACATTCATATCGGAAATGTACATGACAAAATTAATCTAGAAATGGGTTGATATTTCAAAAGTACATGAAGTAAGAATCGAAAAAAAAAAATTGAAACTGTTTTAAAGGCGTGCGACATCAGACAGCAACAATTTACCATTGAGCGTTTCAAAACCATTTTCATCTACATCTAAAGTACTCTACACAGGGATATTATGACTTGAAACATATCTGGACTTTCTGGTCCATTATCACATCTCGTCATTATTCCACAATATATATTAGCATTAAATTGTTACAAGTTGTGTTATTGTATTCTTGGTGTTTACCTTAACTATGATTTTAAAAACATATTAGGAAACAAGAGTACAACCAGAAACAATAATTGAATAGGCCATTGAAGGGCAATAACTCCTAAATTGAAGGGCAATAACTCCTAAATTGAATTATGATGTCTTGTTGACCGTTTTGATGTTGATGTCAATCATGATACTATGTCTACTTATTTGTAAAAGACAAAGCAGACTTCAAATTCTTAACAGATCATTTGATATTTGAAGAATCACTAGAGGTTTATGAAATATATCTTTGGTATATTGAGAATTCTAGATGGAACGCTTTAGAACACGTTTGAGTAATTATAGAATATGTGTTTGCTCTTATAAAAAAGATTTCGTAGAGAGTAGAACAAGCACAAAGATAACACGTGGTTTGCCAGGAGACATAAAAAAAACATGTTTAATGTGGATTGAAGGATAGAAAAATAGACGGGTCTGACTACTTCCAATGTAATTGATTGAATTACAAAAACTCTATCACTTGTACGATGAAATAAAAAAATATGATTTCACAATTTCTAAAAGTAATTAATTAAATCAATGATTACATTGGCCAGTTAGCATAATAACATTTCATTACAATGAATTTAAAAAAAAGTTTGAACGATGTAATTGAACAAAGGTTTACAAAATCTTTAAAATATTATTGTGTGTGTTTTATTTTGTATATCCATATTTCATAATATCTTTGTATAATGTTGTTTATCCATATTTCATAATATCTTTACATGCTTGAAGTACACAAAACTTTTCTTACCATTTTTGTTCAGTTAATGTGAACAATAGAAATGTGTTTTTAACATGTTTTAAGATATAATATATTGACACTAAAGACAATTTTTTAATTTCTTTTATTTTATTAAAAAAAAAATATAATTTAGAATACACGGTATTTTGAAAAGTAATTGATCAAACTAAATTATAAAATTTTTGCTAATTGATGATTATAATGAATTCTTAAAACATTGCATTTCA